CTCAACAACCTTGAAAATTTTCGCTCCCCGCAGCGCATTTTAGCTTAGTAACGACATTTCAAAAAAATATCAAAAATCAGTGCGCACCAGATATTGATTTTACAACGGCTACTTACCATAAGGGGTGTCAGAAGAGTCAAGCCGGCGTTCGAGAGAGTCGTTGATCAGTCCGTAGCTGAGCCTGACCACGGCCAACGGGAGTTGATAAGAAACGACGTATGAGTGAAGCATTGCTTCAGCCGACATAAGTGCCGCACCTCGCCAGCCGACTGGCGTCAACGGCGCCGATTCGACACCGTCAGAAAGTCCGTAAACCTAGAATGGTAATTCAAAGGAAGCGATCACGATAAAGAGAGGAGCGCCTCGGGGAGGTATATATATCCCACACGAAACGACTGCTGCAGTCACACCTGCAGAGGATGGGCGTGCCGCGGCGTGGGCGCCGCGGTTATGGCCCTGCTGGGCCGCTGGGTATACTCACCGCTGTGAAACGCGTATCATCCTTCACTCTTAGGGGAGAGGGAGGAGGTGCCTGCTTTTTGACTTGGTGTATTTCCCCTCCGTCGACCTGCGACGTTATCGTGGACTTCTTTTAATTGTGTAATATTCACTCTTACTACCCTCGCGGTCCGGGTATGAAATCCTGGGTCGCTCATCGTCCAAGCTAACCAAGGTTCCATAAGTACCGTGTGGTTAACTGATGCCAGACATGTTTGGGAGGGTAGAAACATTGAAGGTACATTGTCTGGCCCCTAAAGTCGTTGTATACGCCAAATGCATTCAAAATGCCCTACGACTCTAAATGGAAGTCAAACGCGTGGCGCATTTCCTGAAGAACAGCTCAGTGCTGAATGTTCCAATCTTTATCCTTAAGGTTTTTGTCCCACATGAACCATTGCGGTAATATTAGCACAAGAACGAATCTCTACATCACTCTGCTATCTCCGTTGATTCTGCGGTTACAGGCCACATTTATGTTCAGAAGGGAATTGAGAGGGATAGTCTCGTAAGAGGACTTCCCAGAAGAAGTCAGTTATTATTCGAAATCACGGAATGATTTGCTCGATACTCCTTCGGGTGACCGCTACGATATGCTATACATGAAGGGTTCGAAATTTTCGGGCAATACAATCAAAGCCACCCCTAAAATCAAAACTCAGCGTTTTTCACTCATTGTGTTTGTAGCCAAGACACGAAGTGTGGGGCATTGTGCTCCAACATGCGTAGATAGGATTTTTCGAAGGGTGACTCCCTTGTTCAGCAAATAAAACGATTAAAGTAGACGTAACCGGAGCAGCGACTAAACAGTCGAACCGCGGCAGTTTCGCCCCGCGCGGCGGCCAGACCCAAAACGCCGCTATTTGACGTGAGTCATGATGATTCACAGAGTCAACCTCCGTTGCGTTGCGTCAGAGTTTTTTCTTGATACGGCACCCCCGTTGAGAGATCCTCAATCGCCAACTGTGTGGCGGAGAGCAAAGAGAAAGCTCACTTAGGGGCATGCGAGGGTGGTGAATGTTCCTGCGAGGGAGGGGAAGACCCAATTGTCTCAAATACGGACGAAACTGCGCAATTTAGCGTGTGAAGCATGATTTGAGGACTTTAGCGCCACACCGCACTGTTTGATACTCCTGGGATGAATCGCTCTTTGTAGGCATTTGCGAACAGGGTTGCAAGCATTGTTTCAATCGTGCAGTGAGATATATTGATATTCGAAATATAGCACACATTTACCGGATCATCTTATAAATACGATTCCCGATCTATTCGACTGTCCGGCTCCTCGTCTGAGTTATGCCTCTAACCCGCCTCGCTTCTGGTTTAGTCTTTCATCAAAAGGTTGATATTAACCTTTGTGATTACGGTAAAAAGATACAGTGTTGATCAATTCCTTTTCGGGATGCGCCACGAACCGACTTTTGTGAAGAATCGTGGTGGAATTTGAATGCGTTCCGGCCTTCTCCCTCTACAGTGTATTTTCTGAAGAAGGCCCAGAACTGCTACATTCTCCCTTATATTATTACTACTCAGTTTCGATTAAATGTAGCGCATCAGGTATCCTTTACTTTCGGTGTCCTCCATGACCTATTTGTTCCCTTTTTCAGGCCATTCAAACAAGCCTTCGAACTACCCACTAGATGTGACTTTCCGCGCGCAACTCACTAGTACGGTCGAGTTCCCTCATAGGAGGCAGCTGTCCACACCCTTGTCTCCACCGTTAACTAGTATCGAGCCACAACTTACTGTCTGACAGCTGACGAGCAGAAAACGTCGAACTTGTCCGTAGTCTTTGATGGCATTCAGTAGATGTGTCAGGCCTTGGATGGCATTTCGTGCACCACTAGTAGGGCGAACGATCGATGACACTCTGGTCCCGTGCCGTGCAATCGATGACGACATCCACCTGGAAACCAGCACTTTTATCTCATTATGTTTTGCCATTTCTCATTTAAAAATGAGCCTTCTTTTCTTGAAAAGCACACGGAGAGGTCAAACTGGTGTGGTTGTTTTACACAAAAACGAAAACATTGCTGCGAAGTGGACCAGCAGTAAGGAAAAAGGGAAAAGGAAGAATCTGCCGTGGAAGGGCTCTTCCACTCCTGTGCTGAGGCAGTGATAGATCAAGAGAATGTTGAGAGAGCTCAACGAATGAGAGAGCGCAGAACCACCTGCCGCGGAAAAAATGGAAGCGGTTGAAGCGGTTTCTGCAAGGTCCTGGCGCCCTTGTTGCGCACTCTAAAGCCGGGAGAATGGGACATCTACAGCTTACGTGAACACCTCTGTTCTGACCATCAAAAAGATTCATTCACCTGAACACACCTGGGTTGCACCTTTAAGTCAGCAATTCCAGGAAAGCAAAAAAATAGAATTAGACGAATAATTCCTGAAAATTAAAGATTGGGTGAATGTGCACGCCATGATCCCGATTCTTATTCGGAAATGAATGGTTGGTTGGAGTGCACTGAAAACGCCCGCTTCCCGATTTGTAATTCTTCCATGCAGCTTATCACCCTTCGAGGGACAAAGAAAGTAGTTGTGAATGCAATAAAACACAGAGCGAAGTGTGTATAATAGCGTTTTCTACTACTTCACTTGGCCATACTCAGCGATCTGAGATGATCGAAGCTTGTAAAGAAGATACGTATTGATCAGAAGAATCAGATAGTAGGAGAAATCGCGACAAGGGTGATATGCGTATTCAATAAATGAGTTGTCCTTCTCTATAGTGGGCCTTTTCACTTT